TTAATAAACAGCTTTGAGAGAGCGACCCGTTGATGGAGCACATTTGAGTACGATTCTCTAAATACGACTTAAACCATTGGTGCGCGTTACCATATATGCCGTAATTGCTTAATTTTGATACAAGGATCTCATGGTCAACTGTGTCGAAGGCCTTTTTGAGATCTAAGAAAACAACGGCGTTGATTTTACCGCGGTCAATATTGTACGCCCAAGTGTCCGTGGCCTCAAGGAGAGCCGTGACAGTTGAGTGAATAGCGCGAAAGCCTGATTGATACTTACAGATTATATTGTGCTCTTCTAGGTAGGCATATAATTGATCATAGACGATTCTTTCAAAGACCTTGGCCATAACTGAGATCACAGAAATTGGACGATAATTCTTTAAGTCGTCCCGATCGCCTTGTTTAAAAAAGTGGGGTGACCTTTGCGCATTTCCAGTCATCCGGAAATATGCCTTGACTTATTGACTGGTTAAAAATATCACGGATAGGAATGCAAATGAGATCTGCACATTCCCGAATGAGCCTAGCAGATGTCTTGCCAAGGCCAGCTACCTTTGACTTATTTAGACGATTCAAAAGTGAGAGAACTTTATTTGTACTGGTCGGATGGAGCTGAAACCGTTTATCTGTGCCAGTGAGGTACTTTTGATAACCATCACTATTTGAGGAATCAATATTTGAGATCTAGAATTTTCGGAACATTTGTTGTTGAATTTCTTGCTTGCCTGCCTCTCCTAGGATTTTCGAACCACCCAAAAATGGCATAATTGCCCATTTTTAACGGATTTTTACCCTAAAAAGGTCACCTAGAATTTTCGGGAGCCTTTTTCTGGCTGAAATTTTGGAAAAGGTAAGTTTTGATCCCTATAATTTTCGGATCACAAGACTTTCAGCTAGGAAATCCGAACAGATGAAAGATTTTCAAAGGATAAAAATATGCCTCTATCTACCGTAGCTTACCGTGAAAATACTAAAATACGTTCAACAATGCTATGTTTAAGTGGTTTTAAACTATCTTCTCGTTGGGTGCCCCTGATTATAACCTCACTCAATAACTTTTTAAATAGCACTGAGTTGTCTAAAAAAACGATGGGGTAAATAGCTCAACTTATCTACGCAGTATCAAACCATACACCGTTCAATGATGCCAACATGTAACAGAAAAAGTAATTCTTTCTAAGCACTCCACAATGAAATAGCCTTTAATTCTATTAGGTAACACTAGCACGCCGCGTAAAGCCCGTGGCTACCTTATACGTGTCTGCGCATTGTGGGTTTCTTATAAAAGGTCAGTTTCTCTTCCCAATAGCGTGCTCAGTCTTTTCGGTGTTTCGCACACTCGCCCACTTTCCGCCCAGGCGGAGTAGAAGTTTATAAATGTGGATGTATCATAATTTATTACTTTATGGTTTGGCTATTAATTGTCTTATTTACTTAAAAGTAGATTCTCTATTGTTGTTTTTTTCAGTCAATTTATTTCAGTCGTTTCCGCTGTATCAATAATTTTAATCATAAACATTCAGGCCTAACTACAAAGATTAAGACTGTAGAGACATATCCCTTCGTTTTTCTTGTGAACACCAGTTAATTTACTACAACTAGTCAATTTATTTAGTATTTATGTTAATCACTACCCTACAGTACCACCTTTTAAAATTTGTACAGTTGCAGAAATTATAACACATTATCCAAAAAGGTACTACTTTACAACACAAAGTACATCCCCTTGGTTGTATGCTTTGAGTTTTACAGTGAGTAGCAAATAAAAAAAAAAGTGATTATGTCGTCGTAACCTGAGTGTTTACCCAACGAGTGAAAGCATAGTGACCAACAATTTTCATACACACCAACATAACAATTAGGAAATAAAGATATATGCAGCAGGGAAGTTCATAATCGATATTTCATGGTAACATTTTTCTATTCCCCTGAGTATATCAACTTGCATTAGGTCATTTTATAAATTATTAATGTAAAGACCATAAAAAAAAAAAAACGAAAGAAAAACCTTGACGACTTAGCGCTGCGAACGAATGAAATTTCTCATGCAAAGAAGCGAGGGCAAAAAAATCGTGCAATTTTTGGAATGTGCGCTTCTAGTATTGTAAATCATCCCCCAGTATCAGATACATTGCCCATTTTTTTCTTTATACTGAAACCCGTTTCGTGTTTTAAAATAACTTCGAAGCTGTAAATATCATGATCGAAATCATAAGCCGTCCAGAATTAGGACAAGATATTCTTGGTTTGCAACCACGTGACAAGGCGGCCATGTTGGTAGTCAATACAACAGAATTATTTCATGAAGAATTTACATAAAATCCCAGAGCAGCACTTGTTTCCATATCTCAAACCGCCCTCTCCCTTTTCACTTACACTTACATGAAATTTCTCAGTTTCTTGACTCAGAGAGATGTTTTAGTTCTTGACTATCAACATGGCGGCCGTGACGTCACGTGCAAACCAGCAATAGGTCATTTCCGAGTTCCCCCGGGCCTCTGTATCAAAACGAGGTTAAGTGCTCAGCCTTTGATATGGAAATCATTTTTCATTCTCAGGCAAATAAAACTCATTTTAACAAGAAAGGTTGTGTACTTAGCCTCATTTTGAAAGTGAGGGTTTTTGGAGCTCGGAAGTGGCCTATTCCCGAAAGTTATTTATGTCCTCTTCCGTCTTCAAACCTCCACTCTGCCCCCCCTCCCCAGCCCTTGCTCATTTCTTTTTGTTCGAGAAAAGCCTTGGGCGAGTTATCGTACGTATCATCAGCGACAGGGCTGAATAACGTACTACGCATGTCCGTGACATCACTTGTTTACTTGTCTAGCCCGTGCGCGAAGCATTTGGGCAAAGTGAAATTCTGGCAAGACCATTTTATCTTCGACCATCCAAACTCATATTTGCGAATGCCAACGAAGGAGAAATTCTACGAATACGTTAGAAATGCAACTCATGGAAAGAAATGTTACGTAACTCCAGGGATCAAGGAAAATGTTTTTGACCGTCCCGGCGAAGTTTTTTCATTGTTTTGATGCAGATCGTCAGTAAGTTTGCAGAAAGATGACTGAGAAATTAAAAAAGAGCAATGTGCTGGAGTTTGGGCGACTTTTCTTCGATGGTACGTAAACGATTTACTTAAACATTACTTTATTCTGGTTAAGGAGGTGCAAATCTTTGAAATGTAGGCCGAGCGATAGCAGTTGTTGACCGTTTCTTGGTGGCAAGAAAGCCGGCTTTGAGCGCGATGATACCATCAGACACAAGAAGTCATGAAAGTCATAAACTTAGTTACAAATCTTAGTGCAATGAAAGAAGTTTTTTCGTACCCCTAGCCGGCTTAGAGGCGCTGGTCGAGCTGTAGAATCAGTATTTATTCAGTTGAGTTTGTTTAAAATTTAATTTGCACCTTTAAGCTTAGAATGAATAAACTTTCAAAGTTTAAAGCTGTTGAAGTTTTGAGAAACAATCACAAGTTGGCTCAGCTCTATGTGAGTTTTCGTATTAACTATAGGTTTTCCATTTATGACAGGATTGAATGAAGCAGAAGAATCAAGGAATGAAGATCTAGACTTTGAAGAGAAAAATAAATGAAAGTTCTTCTCCATGTAATGAAGCCTTTTAGAGAACTTCAAGTCATTAATACTTTTACCAGCAAGCATCGACTGTATTACTCACCCATTTACTCTTTTCAACATTAATTTTGCCTGTTGTCATATATAAAAATTTATAATAGCTCTTTTGAGCTGAGCTAACAATGAGTCATAAAGGGAAACAAGTTTGGAAGAAAGAACTTGATTGAATTCGAAACCTCAGTGATTGTTTTGTGTTCTTACAGTTCTTATAGTGAAACCAAGCGAGATATAACAAGAGAAATAACTAAAAGACCATCATTCAAGGAAAAACAAAGATAAATAAAATGTACCTTTAATACTGACACTGATATGCTGTCCGGACGATTTCTTAGAACTGATAACATATTGATAGTCTGTACTTTCATGTGTTTACGCTTGAAAATGTACACATTCGAATGAAAGAACTGTTTTCGGCTTCGTCCGTGCATCTTCTTTTGTTCATAGCAAAAAACGGAAGAAAAATTGCGAAGGTGGAAACGAGAATTCAATAAAGTATGAAATAATCTACCTTTAGTTTAAATGGGAGCCTTGAATATTCGGAAACCACCTTAAAAATCGGGAAAATGCGAGGATGTTTTGAAAATCCTTTTGCAAACGATACTATCTATAGCGGGGACTCTTCGTTCGTGCGTCTTCTTTTGTTCATAGAAGAAAGTAGAAGAAAAATTACAAAGGTAGAAACGAGAATTAAATAAAGTATGAAATAATCTACCTTTAGTTTAAATGGGAGCCTTGAATATTCAGAAACCACCTTAAAAATCGGGAAAATGTGAGGATGTTTTGAAAATCCCTTTGCAAACGATACTATTATTGAAGGGACGCTTCGTTCGTGCGTCTTCTTTTGTTCACAGAAAAAAGTAGAAGAAAAATTACAAAGGTAGAAACGAGAATTAAATAAAGTATGAAATAATCTACCTTTAGTGTAAATGGGAGCCTTGAATATTCAGAAACCACCTTAAAAATCGGGAAAATGTGAGGATGTTTTGAAAATCCCTTTGCAAACGATACTATTATTGAAGGGACGCTTCGTTCGTGCGTCTTCTTTTGTTCATAGAAAAAAGTAGAAGAAAAATTACAAAGATAGAAGCGAGAATTAAATAAAGTATGAAATAATCTACCTTTAGTTTAAATGAGAACCTTAAATATTCAGAATCCACCTTAATAATCGCCAAAAAGTGAGGATGTTTTGAAAAACCCTTTGAAAACGATACTAGGTTAGATCCCAGACCTCTCCCGTCTATGCACATGCGCAGACGTTGTTCAGCTCTGTCATCATCAGCAGTTTTCAATCACACCCTTATTCAATCAGTTGTAACTACAGCAATGAGCTGACATGCGTATCCAAGTGGGCAGTCACCTTACAAGCCGACTAATTGGCAAAGATGTCTCCCATCGGAAGCCGTACGTTCTTGCATTCGGTAGAGTGGAACAAAAACTCCTCGCCCTGCCCCTGAGAGTTGTCAAGCCAGTCTCGGCTCTGACTGTAGTTTACAAAGGTACGTTTCACGTTGACCGCTGATGACCACTCCACAAATTTGCTTCCCTCCGTTGAGCCAAAGTACCACATGGCTTGAACGTCCTGATGTTCGGACAGGTATTTAGTGAGGTGATCGCGGTCCCCTGTGACGATGTTTACAACACCACCGGGCAAGTCCGACGTGTCAAAAATCTACAGAAAGGAAGCGAGAAAAAATATGCAATGTTCCGCATTGAACGAACGAACGAACCTTGCCGGAGACACTGTAAGAATTTTTTAACACATACTGTAACCTAAAATTTCGCATTTATCGCAAAAAGCGCGGCAAAAAGGACCGCTAACACCGTCGTTTGAACGTGGTTCGACATAAGGTGATGTTACACTTGACGATTCGTAACGACGATTTTTAGCGCAACGCAGCGTGGCAACATTGGTGCGACATTGTTTCGAATGGTTACAACATTGCTCCAACATTGCAAGGTTGTGTTGCGCTAAAAATCATCGTCGTGTAACATCACCTAGAAGGCATAGGGTAATATTTCCGGCGTTCAAATTTGAGTTGAAAAATTGGAAGACGTGTTAAATTCCGGCCCTCCTTTTCGGCAACTTATCCTCGGGATTAGCAGTGACAATTGGAATGCTAATTAGGCGCTGTCAAAGGTGGTCGTTTCTTTTATCGCTCCGTCGTTTTCGATGTAAACTCCGCTTATAACCATGGAGCGCACTTAATTTTTACCGAATGGCAGCCAAAACTGACTCACTTGGGAAGAATGACGTTTCCTCTAGAAGAAGGGCAAAAAGAATACGGGAAAAAGGTTCTCAAACTGACGACGACCTCGAGGAGCTTCCCGACCACGAGGGTGACGCCACGCTGAAAGCCCTTGACGATATCAGGAATAAGTTAGAACGCCTACTTCTTCTCAAACCAGCTGTTGATGACCTAAAATCAGTAATTGCTAAACTCACAGAGGAAAATAAGCAACTAATGGAAAGTTTGAATTCTGCAACTAAGGAAATTCAAGAAATTAAAAATGCTGCCGCGGCGACTGAAAAGGTGACTGCTTCGCTTCGCAAAGAAAATGATCAGTTGAAGGCTGAAGTCCACAAATTAGTATGTCGCAACATACGACTTGAAGCTCAGTCAAGAAGAAGCAACTTCAGAGTTTACGGTGTCAGAGATTCTTCACATGAAACTCCAGCAGAAACCGAGCAAGTGTTGAGAAACGTCCTGATACAACAGCTTCAATACCTGAAGAAGACGTAAACAATATGAGCTTCGAAAGAGTTCATCGAATTTCTAACACCCGAGCTGTTAATCAAACCAACAAATCTAAGAGCCCGCCCAATAATCGCCAAGGCCAGCTTCTATCAACATCTTAACGTTTTCTTAGAATAAGATTGTAATGGGAAAAAAGATCCTTGTGCCGTGTTTGGATGTAATAATGATCGCTTTTTTTCCCGAGAAATATACAGTGAAAGACCAAATTTCTAATACTAAACTAGAAAAAGTCCATCCAAACACGGCACAAGGATCTTTTTTCCCATTACAATCTTATTCTAAGAAAACTTTAAGAAAAAATGTCTCGAGAAGCGCTCGAAAATACAAACCAAAGGTGCTCATGCCCCCAGGGCATCCTATAATACTCCTTAAATCGAATTATTTCAATATGGCCGCCGTATCGGTAAAAGGGTCTGTTGGTTTTATGAGCAAAACAAATGCTCTGCACGTGCATCACGCTTCTTACTACATTTCTTTGACGTCCACTGCACGACCACGACGTGAAACCTCCCAAAGGGGACGTTTTATGGAGGACGTGGACATACGACGAGAAATTTTCCTTTCTCTATTTGAACATGGATGAAGTCCTTGAGAATTTAATTCCAGGAAAAGTCGCCTACATTTGACAAATTGAGCGGGTTCAAATAGACGCGATAAAGTTTGAAAGGACGCAAATTCAGTTTCTAGTGATGTTTTTACTGTCGTCGTTGTTGCTTAAGCTCCCCAATGATGCAGTGAACGAGAAAGCCACATGATCCTAAAAAACATCTAAAAAAAATGCTCCGCTTAGGATTAAACATGATTTTAAAACATAGTGCTCCGCCTTTGTCGGTTATCAAAAGAAGAGAGGTCGAGTAAAAAGAGGCATGTTTCAAACTTTAGGCCATAGTATGGGCGCTTATTCGAGTATTCACACACAACAATTGTGTGCCGAAAAATTTATTATAATCGATAATCGATCATAGAATATGTTCAATCGATAATCGCGGGAAAAAATAAACTTCTTGTTACCGAATAAACATATTATTTATGGTCTCATAATTAAAGAAGAAAACGATTATGATCACCTGAAAGCACAGAAAAATTTGGAACTCAGTGGTCCACGATCAAAAAACAGTACTAACGCACAGAATAACTCAGAAAATAAAATGGACATGATTGGTACCTGGTACATATCCACAGCAATCATGGGATGTTTCTGACTTGGTGCGATAACAACAGTGTTACCTCGGATGACTGCAGGCGCCAGTAGGGACACAAAGGCCAGTAAGGGACACTTGTCAGGACAAGCAATGCCTATCACCCCTACAGGCTCATGGATCTTAACTGTAGCACCATAGAACGGCGTTTCCTTAGGGAGGGGAGAGAGAGGAAAATATAAAAGCCACGAAGAAAAGGTACATGATTAGCAAACAAAACATGTTACTGCTAGTTCAAAAAAGCGCTTTATTTGAGTCTCGATGTATTTAGCATGAAAGTGCTAATTGGGGAGACTATTTTTACGTCTCCTACTGGAGACGGGACCGCCATTTTACGTGGTCATCCGAGTCACGCGAAGGTACGTCCAGCCGCTTGCAAGGCAAAGGGAGCACCTTCATTTTCCTCCGTTATTTTAAGACCCTGAGTGTTGGTCCTCTCCCGGGAATCGAACTCGGGAACTCCCGCTCTGCAGTCAAGCGCTCTACCGACTGAGCTAATCCTGCCAAGGTTGGAAACGAATCGTTGTATGAGAAAGTTAAACAAGGGGCAACAGCTTTGAGAACCAGTCCCAAAGGTGTCCGTCTTAGAGAGTGTTGACTGCAGAATACGTAAGACATGGCCTTAAAGTGGCTCCTGGAAAGTTGCTTGGAGAACATACAAGACCAAATGGCAAGTAGACAGTTTCCTGCCACAAACACGTGACCATGATCAACTTGTTTTTGCAACGTACCAACTCGCCTACCACTTTGGTAAACTCGCCCTTCTATTCTCTAGTTAACATTATGGAAAGTTCCGTTGAGAACGTCTTCGCAAAAGGTTGAAGTATGTTAGTGAGTTGTACTTTCAGCGTACCCCCAAGTACAAAAGAAGAATCAAAGACGCCCAAGGGGGATTCTTGAGGAATTTGGGTGGAGGGGGCTTTCCAGCCCTAATTCCGACTATCCACTACAGCACGCACACTGATAAATGATACTAGCTGCCTGAACTACTTCGGAAAGGGAGTGTGCCCTACCAAAAACCCCAGGGAAAAGATGTTAGCCAGTTAATCAAGGAAGTCGGCAAGTTGAACGACTGAGCAAGTTAATACAAATGCAAATTAACTGTATACATTGTTTTAGTGAGTGGTTTGAACCCAGGAGTCATGATAAATGTCGGTGGGATATGATTGTCCGGGTGGGTGTAGTCCTGAATAGGACTAGTGGAGAGTGACTAATGACAACCCGTGCGGTAATTATATTCACACACATTTAACTCGGAAGATGACCATCGTGCAGTTTGTCATCAATCACTGTTCGTAAGTCCTATTCAAGACTACGAACAACCTGACTATCATTTTCCATCTACTGTATTAATGCCTATATTTTGTACCTACCGTGTGGCACGAAAGTTTTGCGATTTTTGCGATTTTCAAGCGATCCGCAAAAATAAGTTCCCGCACATAAAAATTACCACAAACGTTTACCCCCCAAAACTTTACTCCAGAGTTAGTATTCTCTACCTTAAATTCGCTACACAAGACATTAAGAAGAAATCGTGTCTGTCTGAAATCGTGCCTCTTGCATTCAGAAACAAAACGGTATACAATGAATTACTAGTTTTACATAGGGGACGCATACCATAGTGTTGTTTGAAAGTATATATTCTGTTGCACGTACTTAACAAAAACGCACATAAAAATTACCGCAAACATTTTTCCCGCAAAAATTTACTCCAGAGTTAATATTCTCTACCTTAAATTCGCTACACAAGACATTACGAAGAAATCGTGTCTGTCTGAAATCGTGCCTCTTTCATTTAGAAACAAAACGGTATACAATGAATTACTGGTTTTACATAGGGTAGGCATACCGTAGTATTGTTTGAGAGTATGTATTCTATTGCACGTACTTAACGAAAACGAAAATATTATCAATGCTGGATACTGGGTAATTTCTGAAAACCGCAAAAATTAATTCCCAGCAAGAAAAGCCAATCTGTCCTAATCGCAAAAATTGGTTCCCGCAAGACACAACAAATCGCCAATTCGCAAAAATAAACTCCCCAAACATTTCGTGCAGCACGGTATTCTTGTTAACATTAGTTGGTTTATTGTCACACCTACCTGTACAGTACCTCCATATTTATCTGCATAAGCACCCCAGTAAAACAGCCGCTGTATTGCGATATCGACTTCCTTGCTGGCCTCCTCCTGCGAGCAGCCTGTCATATCGCACAGTCTCTGACTAAACTCATTGCGTCGCAGCTCTAAATTTTCCGCCATGTAGTAAACAATTTGAGCTCTGTTGTGGGCGGCTCTCTTGCCCCAACTAAGGGAAAAGGTAATAAAAAAATCATCTTAAACTCCAGAAGGTCTGGCCAGTTACCTAAATTTTTTTGGTATTTTCATAAATTTTTATTTCGTCTCACAATAAATTTATGTATTACAATGTTTTACACGGTGACCCTTACATTTGTATGAAGACGAAAGAAAAATACAAAAACAAAAAAGAACGAAAAGAAAACTAACCATATAGACATCGCACAGACACAATTACATACTGATAAAACCACACCCCAGTAAATTCTTCTCTATTTACCTGAAAAATTAATAAATGAAGAAAGCGGCGAAATGATCGTATGCGACTCAACTTTATATTTGCTGCATTTCATATCGTGGGTCTCTAACTTATCGTCTGACTTAGCGATCATTGTCTCGATTACAAAACAGTGTTTAATTTTAGAAGTATATGTAAGAACTCTAATGGACGGAGAATGTTTGTTCTGTCTACAAGAGTATGGGTATTGTTATTCCAGTAGTAAAATATGATTCCCAAATATCTCGTCCTCAAAATTTTAATAGAGAGAGTTTTCGTAACGATATCGCTCAGCAAGACTGGTCCTGTAATGTTTCTGAAGATCCAAATGTTTTGTGGACTGACTGGAAAACGAAGTTTTTGGATATTGTTAATATTCATGCGCCACTCCGAACTAGACGTACTAGAACAAATAAAGCACCCTGGATCAATTCAGAATTAAAGAAAGGCATGCGTGATCGTGATGCTGCCAAAAGAAAAGCAATTACATCGAATGATCCACACGATTGGAAAAGGTACAAAAAGTTGCGAAATATAATAAACAATGACATCAAAATTTCTAAAGCATCTTATTATTCTAATGCATTTATTCAATCTAAGGGTAATCCTCGAAAAACGTGGCAAACCTTTAATGAGCTTACATCCCGTCGTGTGAATAATACAACGGTGAAAGAACTGAAATTGAATGATACCATTATCTCTAATTCTAGTGAGCTTTCTGATGCTTTTAATGACCATTTTTCAACAATTGGGCCCAGACTTGCTAATGAAATACCTCTAACTGCTGAAAATAATTCAAGTTATATCAATAATATAAAGGTAAATAACAACAATTTCAGCTTCTCCTCGACTAACTGCAGCATTGTTTTCTCACATCTAAACAAATTATGTAGATCTAAAGCAACTGGTCTTGATAATATTTCTGCTAAAATTGTACGTGAATGTGCTGATCTTATTTCAGTTTCACTATGTGATCTCTTTAATAAATCTTTAGTCTCTGGTATATTTCCTGATGATTGGAAATGTGCTAGAGTTACTCCGTTGTTCAAGGAAGGTGAGCCATCTGATCTGAATAATTATCGACCTATTTCAGTCATTTCCGTTATAGCTAAAGTGTTTGAAAGGATTGTTTATGATCAGTTGTATAACTTTTTGACCAATGAAGATATCATTTCTAATCATCAATCGGGTTTTCGCTCGTTACACTCAACTGCAACTGCCCTTCTGGAAGCTACAGATAATTGGGCCTTTAATATTGATCGTGGCAATGTTAATGCTGTGGTTTTCCTCGATTTAAAAAAGGCTTTCGACACCGTTGACCACGATATCCTTCTAGCTAAAATGAACCTTTACGGAATACAAGGTACAGCTCTTGATTGGTTTAGGTCGTATTTAACTAATCGTACACAACGATGTCTTGTTAACGGTTCTCTTTCTAGAATCTGCTCTCTTAAATGTGGGGTACCGCAAGGAACAATCCTTGGCCCCTTTTATTTCTTATTTATATTAATGACTTGCCAAACTGCCTTACTTCGTGCCAGCCTAGAATGTATGCCGATGACACCCACATTACTTATGCTGGCGTTGATGTGAATTCAATACAGTTAACTCTGAGTCACGATTTAGATAACCTAAACAAATGGCTTATTTCCAATAAACTTACTTTGAACACTTCTAAAACTGAATTCATGCTAATTGGCTCCAGACAAAAATTGAGTACTTTGTCGAACCCACTTGAGCTCTCGATTAATAATGTTCCGATAGAACACGTTTCCTCTGTCAAATCGCTTGGAATATTTATTGATGAAAACCTACGGTGGCAAACACACATTGATAAATTATCTAAAAAGGTCGCTTCCGGAATTGGAGCAATAAAAAGAATTAGACCTTTTGTCCCTCCACCTACCCTTCACTATATATACAACTCACTAATTCAATCTCATTTCGATTATTGCAATCTTGTCTGGGGTAATTGTGGTAAAACATTATTTGACAGGCTACAGAAGCTTCAGAACCGTGCCGCTCGCGTTTTAACCTTCTCTAGCTATGATGCTGATGCTAACCGTTTGATTAGACAACTCGATTGGAAAGACTTGAGCACTCAATTTCAAATACAGAAATCCATAATGGTATACAAGTCTTTAAATGGCCTTGTTCCTGAATATTTATCATCTAAGTTTGTTAAACGAAATGAAACGCGTTACTCCCTGAGGGACTCTGTTAACAAACTATTTGTCCCATTTCCGCGAACTAATTTCATGAAAAACAGCTTTACTTATAGCGGAACAGTTCTCTGGAACAGCCTACCCTGTCATGTGAGAGAAGCCGAATCTCTTAGTCAATTTAAAAGATTAGTTAATGTTCATTTTTAATGTTATACACGGCATTCATGAAAAACAGGTTTTAGTTAGATTAGTTGTAGTCAGGTTTTGAATTTTGTTTAGGATAGTTAGGTTATTTTTAATTTTTTAAATTCCTGATGGATTTTACCGTGTTTAAATAAAGATTGACTTGACTTGACTTGACTTGACATTCAATAATACCAAACAGTATATCTTTGCCAGTTACCTATAGCTTTTTGGGACGGCACGAAAAGCTATCTGCGGGTACAGTGTGACCATAGCCTTTAACACCCTACTCCCCAACAATACACGTACCCTGGTGCTGCTTTATGTGCGGCCTCCACAGCATCTCTGATGTCCTTTCTGTTTCCGTCAGCCACTTGTCCTATAACTTCTCCTGAGGGGTTTTGTACGGGTCGAGAGTAGTTTCCGTCCGGTCGCTTCTGAGCTCCTCCAATGTAAACTTTGCAAGTATGATCAATACTGAAAAAAACGAAAAGAAAAGAAAGAAAAAACTACAAATGACTTCACATCGTAGTCCTCCACAGATGGTCGTGCTCTGGTTTGCCATGATGGGCAGACATATTCATACAAGCCCTGTCACCAAAATTTAACATTTATACACTTAATTAGGCTGGGAACAAATACTAGCTTAAAGGATTCACGGAGAAGTCCTTCTGTTAAAACAATGTTTAACATCCATTGTCAAGAACAAAATTCTAAAGCTATATTTACACTATGATATCGTGGGCTAGCTTTGCGTACCGACACGAAAAGCTAGCCCACGGTATAGTATGAACATCTATCCGACATGCGACTCTCCGCTTTACAGATCAGAGCAGCGCAGGTTCGCTCTGTCACAGAAATTGCGCCGCCACAACCATTTTTGAGTATGAACAGAAGCGCTATCCGGTATGATTTACTCACGTGGCGGCGCAGAAGCGTATCTATTTAGGTTTCTGGGAAACTGCCCACCTACCCCTCCCCTAAGTCAACATTTTTACGTCTCGTTTGGGGCAAAATGTTGGCTTAGGGGAGGGGTAGGTGGTCAGTTTCCCAAAAACCTAACTTGGTCCGCGAAAGCTATCCGGCGTAATGTGAACACAACCTAAACTCAATTTTGTTGGAAAATTGGACTAAAAACGATCAAGTCTCAGGAGCTGAATACAAATTAAACATTATTGCTTTTAAATTTTCAATGTGATGCTATTTTGGACGATAATATTAATTCCACCTTTTTGGGTTGTAAATATTCTGAGGAATCAAGATTCTTCGCTGGAAACAAAGGCAACAAAAGAAAAACACCTGAACTATTGAAAATGGTTGTGTTATATTAGAAATTTAAAAGCAAATGTATCATATGAGGTTTCTTTTAGTTAGGTTGATGTACACATTAGAGACCTTTAGATACTGAGACGAGTACGACAACGAGTACGAGATTTTCCCAATACTAAGTAGTGCTCGCGCGTGAACCAGCGTCATTTCGGCGGGAACACGTGGTAGCCGTCGTCACTCTACTACGAGTTTTAGAGAGAATGTCGAAGTTGCGATGCTTGTAAAAGTTAGTTTAAAGAGGTTTTAAATTACGTATGCAAATTTACTTATATTTTTATAACAAAATTTCGAAGTCAGCGTTTTATGTTTTGCTTTGAACGGTACACTTGGAGATTTATGAAATTAGCTGTTCAGCTTAAGCCAAGTTAATTAAAGGTTATGTAAAACATTTATATTATTTACCATTTTGACAACTATTAAGACCATATTTCTCTTTCTCCATCGCTACTGATCCTTCATGACGCGACCCGACGCAAGTTATGTACCAAAAACAAACGCAGTTTATGATTAATTAAGAAAGTAACCTTCATATAAAAAATATACAGACACAATTGTCCAAAAGTTCAGATAAGCAACCTATTGTTGTTGTTTTTTTCGGCTAAAAGGGAAACTTTTACTCGTCAAAGTGTAAGATAAGGGGTGGGCGCGCATGAAAACACTGACAGGCGGTGTGAATTTCTGCAGATGCGAAAAAGTATATTGCTTTCTCAAAATCCTTTTGACTGATGAATATTCAAAAATTATGCATTTTCTTTCCGTAACTGAAAAGCCGATATGAACTCGTTTATTCAGCTTATTCAGTTTATTCAATGAGTCATCACTTTGACGGAGAACTGTGAGAAACAAGAACTCAAAACAACTACTCAGCAATTCGCTGACCGCTGGTGAGACCGAATCCGAGATGAAACTGTTTCCGGCTATTCTAGCCATATATTTGGCACTTTTATGCGCAACAGACCTAGGTATTTTGTAACTTTTCCATACCACCATTCAGAGTAATGTTCGCCAGGACCTAGCAAATCAGCAAAAGAACTAACTCAGGGGAAACCAAAAAACTAATAACACTCATAATTAGGAAATTGGTCACACGGAATAATACTACACTTATTTATCACAATATTGGGAGCCTCTGTATGATACCTGAGAACGTCGTTTTCGTCGAGTTCAGTTTTCCACCAAATCGTCGATTTTACAAAGAAATCATCTCATATCAAGCGAAATTGTTTTGCGTGGTATTAAACGCTACTGGCGAGCGCAACAACGTAGCGACGGCGACGACGACAAAGACGATAAAATAGAAAAAAAACAGATTTAATAAGCAAAATAAAAACACTCAGTGGGGGATCGCACGAAAAATGTTGTAAAACGCAGCCGGATCGGAATGAAATCATCATTTCATCTTTAGCGATCTTTGCGGCTTCGATTTCGTCAGAAATACTTCTCCAAAATCTTGGTTATGATCACTTCATCGGCTACAAAAAAGATACTATTAGCATTTTTTTCCGTGAAAAGGTTGCAATTTCCAGTCACTGGTACTTTTCACAAATTGAAGATCCTACTTAGATATTGTTGATTGATTTGAGTGCAATTTTTCTTGCAGTTCAGACAGGCAGTGTAATTAAACGAAGTGTTGTCAATGACCCAACACTTGCAAAACTGCAAGATATCGAGCGAATACTTGGTGAGTAAAGTTGATCCCGCAAAAAATAAACCCCCGCACTAATAGTTGGACTTCAGTCAATTTTTCTTCCAGTGCCTTCTTTCAAACAACAGTACCCACTGCGGGTACTTATTGTCGCGGTTCAGTGTTGTAATTTGGCGTTTTTCGCGAAAAAAAATCCTCGTCAAATTTAAACACGCGAAATGCAATGACCAAATAGTTCATAGAATACTCAAATCACAGAAAAGATGATAAAACATGTAATTATAACAGCATATACACAGTACAATAATGATTTGAAAAATGCACGAATAATTCACTGATTTTTAGTAAGTTCGGTTTTGTGTCTTCTATGAAAGAGGGTGTTTTAAATTAATTAATATTCGCATACTGAAGAAGAAACTCTAGCTAGTATCCGGCCGGATGCTCATACAGTTAATCTACAAATTTAGAATGCCAGAAACGTTGAAAAAAAAAATCAAGTTGAGAACATTTGAATCGCGAAATTTAATGCCTTTTGTTCATATGCCATCACAGGTAACCCAGGCTCTGTGATAGTACCACCGTACGGTTCCAGTAAAATTACAGTGTTTGTATTGGGTAAAAATACCATCCTAACATTTCTAGGAAATACTAAATAAAGATCAATGAAACTTACTCGGCAGTTAATTGTTGTTGTCCTTATTGCTCCAATGAAGTTTCGTGATAATTTGCAGTAATTTGTTCAAATTCACTCTATATACAATAATAATATACAAGGTAGGAGACACGAGATGCCATTTTTGCCGACATGCTCTCATTCAACACAACTTTTTCCACGAAATTCGAACTGCAACGGAAAGTAAACATGCCAGGATCGTAGAAGTAGGATAGCAGCAGATATAGAAACCATAAATTTATTGAGCTTTTGCCATAGTTATGCACAGATTCGAATAGATATCCACAAGAAGACGAAATTGCCAGATACGATGCATAGAGACTTCCCGCCGTCTTTCCCAGTTTGTAGGAAGGAGATATACAATGTTGTTCCTTTTCTGTTTATAAATTATCGTATTTATATGGCACTCGATGAGACAATGAAAACGATTCTTATTTACGTTTGACGTAGCAAATTTAGAAATAACTTGCGATCAGGCCTCCCAAAGAAAATGGAAAAATCTAAGGACCGCCTGATCGCAGATTAATGAAGAAAAATCAGACTGTTCAAGCAAATCGAGATTTTTTCTAGCTTACTGACTGTATATTTCAACTGTAAGTACTTTCCGGGGGGGCAAAAAAGTTGCGATGCGTGTAAGAGGTTTCAAATTACGTATGCAAATTTACTTATATTTTTGAAACAAAATTTCGAAGTCAGCGTTTTATGTTTTGCTTTGAACGGTGCACTTGGAGATTTATGAAATTAGCTGTTCAGTTATATAAAGGTTATGTAAAACGTTTATTTACCATTTTGACAACTCATTAAGACCATATTTCTCATTCGCCATCGCGAATGATCCTTAAACGACCAGACGCCGGGACCATACTCAAGTTATGCACCAAAAACAAACGCATTTTATGATTAAGAAGGTAGCCTTCATATCAAAAATATACCGACAAAATTGTCCAAAAGTTCAGACAAGCAACCTATTGCAGTTTTTTTTTCCGGCTAAAAGGGAAACTTTTACTCGTCAAAGTGGGAGATATACGCGCATGAAAGCACTGACGAGCGGTGTGAATTTCTGCAGATGCGAAAAAGTAAAGTTGACTGATGAATATTCAAAAGTTATGTATTTTCTTTCCGTAACTGAAAAGCCGAGACTAGATTTTTGCGTCTAACACGGGAAAAATCAAGTTTCGAGTACTTTTTAGCAGTGCCGTAGCTTTAGATAACACGCCTTGCGTGCTTTTGCGCACGCTGAAAGGGTGTTGTGCTATTTTCCACGCAGCTGTTGTCGGCTTTCATTGACACGCGTTTTCTGTTTTTTTAACTTGCTCACGCTTAATTGTCTCAAGCGTGTCCTCTAAAATGAACAAAAGAAATTGCTAATAAGGCAACATGGCTTGCGTGCTAAAGCGTGTTAAAATGAATTGTTTTGTTTTAAAATGGAAGCTTTTCGTAAGCGTTCTTTCACCTTCAGCATCAAAATGCTGTGGAGGGTCACATATTGTTGCTAGCAAAACTAGACCGCGTAATGCCGCAATAGTTTCATCCTCAACTTAACGCTTGAACTCGCTGTTCGGATGATCATGGTCTCGCCTCGTGATTTTTACGTCAATCATGCATAAGATCCTGTTTGAACTCGTTTATTCAGCTTCATCCTTCAATGAGTCATCACTTTGACAGAGCACTGTGAGAAACAAGAACTCAAAAGAACTGCCCAGCAATTCCCTGACCGCTGGTGAGACCGAATCCGAGATGAAACTGTTTCCGGCTATTCTAGCCATATATTTGGCACTTTTATGCGCAACAGACCTAGGTATAGTGTAACTTTTCTATACCACCATACAAAGTAATGTTCGCCCGGACCTAGTAAATCAGCAAAAGAACTAACTCAGGAGAAAGCAAATTCCTAAGAACGCCCATACTTAGGAAACTGGTCACACGGAATAATACTACATTTATTCATCACAATATCGTGAGCCTCTGTATGATACCTGAGAACGTCGTTTTCGTCGCGTTCAGTTTTCCGCCAAATCGTCGATTTTACAAAGAAATTATTTCCGTATCAAGGGAAATTGTTTTGCGTGGTATTAAACGCTACTAGCGAGCGCAACAACGTAGCGACGGCGACGATTACAAAGACGAGAAAATAGATAAAAAAACAGATTTAATAAGCAAAACAAGAACACTCAATGCCTTCATCGCACGAAAAATGTTGTAAAACACTAAAAAGTTGCCGGATCGAAATGGTAATGCGACTGTTGTTTTAGTCTGACTCTAAAATCGTCATTTCATCATTAGCGATCGTTGCGGCTTCGATTTTGTCAAAAATACTTCTCCAAAATCTTGGTTATGATCACTGCATCGGCTGCAAAAAAGATACTATTAGCGTTTTTCCGTGAAAAGGTTGCAACTTCCAGTCACTTGTACTCTTTAACAAATTGAAGATCCTACTTAGATATTGTTGATTGATGTGAGTGCAATTTTTCTTGCAGTTCAGACAGGCAGTGTAATTAAACGAAGTGTTGGTAATGACGCAATACTTGCAAAACTGCAAGATATCGAGCGAATACTTGGTGAGTAAAGTTGATCCCGCTAACAATAAACCCTCTTTTTTTTTCCCCCGAATTTAGAGATAGCTTTCACGAACTGATAGTTAGACTTTGGTCAATTTTTGTTCCAGTCTCTTCTATCAAACAACAGTACTTACTGGTACTTATTTTCGCGCTGTTCAGTTTTATAATTTGGCGTTTTTCGCGAAAAAGAATCCTCTTCAAATTTAAACAAGCGAAATTCGGTATATACTTAATGGTAGAAAGCCACAAGTGCACCGGTAATATACACTCTGTGTAATATGTAGTATTGTTTCTTCTCCCTAATAGCTAGTGGTAGTTACTAGTAGTTACTTGTAGTTACTAGTAGTTACTAGTAGTTAGTGGTAGTTATTAGTAGTTAGTGGTAGTTACTAGTAGTTACTGGTAGTTACTAGTAGTTGTCAGTAGTTACTAATAGTTACTAGTGGTTAATAGTAGTTCTTGGTATTTACTAGTAGTTAGTGGTAGTTATTAGTAGTTACTGGTAGTTACTAGTAGCTATCGGTAGTTACTAGTAGTTACTAGTAGTTGATGGTAGTTACTAGTAGTTGTCGGTAGTTACCAGTAGTTACTAGTAGTTGATGGTAGTTATTGGTATTTACTAGTAGTTACTGGTAGTTGATGGTAGTTTATGGTATTTACTAGTAGTTAGTGGTAGTTATTAGTAGTTACTGGTATCTACTATTAGTTACCAGTAGTTACTAGTAATTGTTGGTAGTTGTCGGTAGTTACTAGTAGTTACTAGTAGTTGATGGTATTTACTAGTAGTTACTAGTAGTTACTGGCAGTTACTAGTAGTTACTGGTAGTTACTAGTAGTTATCGGTAGTTACAAGTAGTTACTGGTAGTTACTAGTAGTTACTGGTAGTTACTGGTAGTTACTAGTAGTTGTCGGTAGTTATTAGTAGTTACTGGTAGTTAGTGGTAGTTCTCGGTAGTTACTAGCAGTTGTCGGTAGTTACTAGTAGTTACTGGTAGTTGGTGGTATTTATTTGTAGTTACTAGTAGTTACTGGTAGTTACTAGTAGTTGTCGGTAGTTACCAGTAGTTGTCGGTAGTTACTGGTAGTTACTAGTAGTTGTCGATAGTTACTAGTGGTTGCCAGTAGTTGGTGGTAGTTGTTGGTAGTTACTAGTAGTTACTGGTAGCTGATAGTAGTTATCGGTGGTTGCTAGTAGTTACTGGTAGTTACTAGTACTTACTAGTAGTTAATAGTAGTACTTGGTATTTACTAGTAGTTAGTGGTAGTTATTAGTAGTTACTGGTAGTTACTGGTAGTTATCGGTAGTTACTAGTAGTTGATGGTAGTTACTAGTAGTTACTGGTAGTTACTAGTAGTTGATGGTAGTTTTTGGTATTTACTAGTAGTTACTAGTAGTTACTAGTAGTTGCTGGTAGTTAATAGTAGTTCTTGGTATTTACTAGTAGTTAGTGGTAGTTATTAGTAGTTACTGGTAG